TAATGTACACAACTGATAAGAAAAAACTAAGAAGAAACATGTTATTTCAATGAAAAAACAAAATATGAAGTGTCATGCACGGAATTTTTTTCACTGTAAATTATATAATGACTTTTTCTTTTTCACTTCCAAAAACTGTAATTTTAACAGTAAACAATAATTGATTGACGTTAGTGTTTTCATTTTTCTGCATTGCTCACAGTGTTAACAGTGTAACAGACACAGTATAATTTTGACAAACCAGGCTAAATAATTTAACCATCCCTGCAATAGTACGCTGATTGTATTAAGACAATGGTGAAGTAAGCCACTTCATTTGCTTAAAAAAAGAGAGAAAAGAAAAATATGCACTAGCAAGAGCCACAGCTGCAGGGTCAGAAAAGCTTCAAAAAATGATCAAACATACCTACATCAGCACATGTTGTTTGGGAGGGTTTCAAGAACAATTCTCCTAGCTCATCTAAAAACAGGCCCCAGCATATTCTGTTGTCAGACACGACTGGAACTTCAAATGGGACTGGCTTCTATGGGCAGATGAAACTAAAAAAAGTGCTTTTTAGCAGCAAACACTCAAGATGGGTTTGGTGCACACGGGGATAAAAAGTACCCCATGTGTACAATGAAATATACTGCTGGTGTTTTTTGAACATTAAAGCATGTCAACATATTCTGTTACACCAAATACACAAAATAATAATAAAAAAAAAAAGCATCATATGACCCCTTTAAGTCGCTGGGGTATATTTGTAGCAATAGCCAACAATACATTGTATGGGTCACAATTATAGATTTCTCTTTTATGCCAAAAATCATTAGGATGTTAAGTAAAGATCATGTTCCAGCAAGATATTTTGTAAATGTCCTACCGTAAATATATCAAAAGTTAATTTTTGATTAGTAATATGCATTGCTAAGAACTTCATTTGGACAACTTTAAAGATGATTTTCTCAATATTTAGATTTTTTTGCACCCTCAGATTCCAGATTTTCAAATAGTTGTATCTCGGCCAAATATTATCCTATCCTAACAAACCATACATCAATGGAAAGCTTATTTGTTCAGCTTTCAGATGATTTATAAATCTCGATTTTGAAAATTGTACACTTATGACTGGTTTTGTGGTCCAGAGCAGGGGTGTACATTTCTAAGTGCAAATAGCAGTATTTGTTTTGTGATATGCTATTTACAATAAGTGCAAATAGCTATTTATACTATTAAAATAGCAGGATATTCTGCTAATTACTTATTGCCAATAGTGGCAATTATCTGCACCTCAACATTGTAATACATTATAAAACAGTATGCAATAATAACTTGTGTACATTTTTATTTTAATTCAAATTATTAAATGGATGCCACATTATTCGGACAAAAGCCCTCCTTACACCTCCCCCTAACTCTACCCGATACTTTTTCAACTTTTTGATTATTTCCTTCAGTTTTATAAAAGTATATATTTAAAGTATTAATATCTGCCACCTAACTACTATTTACACTCCTGTTGCTAAAGAAAATGCTGCTATTTTAGTGCAAACAGAATTTATCATTATTTGCACTAGAATATATCGCTTCTTCCACTTCCACAGCTTACTGTTGATTCAGTTCTGTAATTGTAATACATTATAAAACAGTATGCAATAATAACTTGTGTACATTTTTATTTGAATTCAAATTATTAAATAGATGCCACATTATTCGGACAAAAGCCCTCCTTACACCTCCCCCTAACTCTACCCGATACTTTTTTCAACTTTTTGATTATTTCCTTCAGTTTTATAAAAGTATATATTTAAAGTATTAATATCTGCCACCTAACTACTATTTACACTCCTGTTGCTAAAGAAAATGCTGCTATTTTAGTGCAAACAGAATTTATCATTATTTGCACTAGAATATATCGCTTCTTCCACTTCCACAGCTTACTGTTGATTCAGTTCTGTCCAATATGTAAAGTTAATCAATTATGAAACGAGTTAAATTGGGCAATATATATTATATATAATATAGCATTGTTTACTAGTATGCAGCCTTGGCAAGCCTTTGTAAAACGAATGGTTAGCACATTTGTTTGTAAGGTAACAGCCTGGACAGCTGTGCTGAATTAATGTTCAGTGTTTCATGTGACAACACTTAAGCATACCACTCTGAAACATTTGTTGCTTATTGTATACCGTTTCACACACATTTGTTTGTAAGGTAACAGCCTGGACAGCTGTGCTGAATTAATGTTGTGTTTGTCATGTGACAACACTTAAGCATACCACTCTGAAACATTTGTTGCTTATTGTATACCGTTTCACAAACAATTCTTTAAAGAATTGTAGGCAGTATGCATGGTGTACTGGGCATGTAAGCAGTAAGCAAGTATGCCATTTGGAACGGTCTCTGTGATTCCGAAGTACAGTAAATATCCACGCATTCATCCGCACTGAGGAGCCATGCCGGTGCACAACCCACGTAAAAAATTTTTTTTTTTTAATAATTCCGCAAAAACTGCATTTGCAGGTTTCAAACAGAGATGGCGACAAAGAGGCAAAATTTACGGACTACAGCTTTAAATTAAAATTTGTCAGATTTTTCCCCTCATCTTGGATCCTAATCATATTCATGAATAATTGGTCTGACCTTCAGGTTGCATGTGCATAAAGGTACTTTTAAATTTTTGCAAAGTATACTTTTAAAAGTTCTTTTAAGATCTTAGACTTGTATTTGCAGCATCATTGATTCGCATGCATCTGCCACATGCTCGCACCTGGAAAATTTGCAAATCAAATTACATTTAGGCACTTACATTTTGTAAGTAGTAAAAAAAACACTGTATATGTAATCACGATCAGTTATAACTGGTAAACGAAATGTGAGATTTGTCTTTCATTTGTCCTGTATCAGCTTATTTCTCAAGCAAATGAGTTAGACGTGAAATAGTTCTTTATTCATAGGAAGCCATCCCTCTCACACTTAAGCGGCCAACAGGCTTATCATCCTTGTATTAAAGAAGCTCATATGAAAAAGACATCAAGCAAAATGCCTAATAACAACTGCATTACATAAACGGCGATGCACAATTCAAAGACTGCATACAAAAGTTAATTGCTGTTCATAAGTTAAGTCTGAAAAGGAATTAATACTGAAAGTTTGCAACACAGATCACTAAACCGTCTTCCCAATATGAGAAATCACAGTTCTTTGCTGGAAGTACTCATTTGATTTACTGTACTTAGCAAATAGGTACCAGTTCATAGTTCATGGCATGGCAATTCATCTCATTTGAATACAAAAAGAAAAAAAAATAATAATGCTCGACAAAGGAATTTAAATATACAACGCTTTGCTACAAACCGACTCTCAAAAACCTGGAAATATGGTCAAAGAAAAAAAATAAAAAAGAGGAACCAAAAGGTGACAGATGACAGGAAAAAAAACATTTGTACATTTTGGCTCAACGATCCCTTTAACAGCGGAAATACAGAATTTGTTTGTCAGAGTCAAAGACGACTTGTTCGTTTTCATAAAGTGTTTTTGGACCTAAATGCTCATGTCGAAAATATGACACTAGAATCCTAGAGCTAAAGTTAAGTTTGAGAATATGGTAAACGTAGTTGACCCCTGAGTTTCTAATGCAGAACTAGTGTATAAAATACCTCATTACAGTGTGCCTTTTAGTGCAAGCCAGCAAATATGCTCAATTAAACAGGAGGTATATTAGGATAGCACCCAAGCAAACAATGCTTCTCCATGCAGTCTTTCCTGTTGGCCGAATCACAGAGATGGGCTGGTTTGAATAGCCAAACCAGTAGATCAAATACATCTTATTTAGAATCCATTTTTTTCATAGAAAACATAAATATCCCTGAATGAAACTGATTCACAGTATATCGAGGACTCCAGTGCTACTACCATTGTTTTTTATGTTGGGACAATCAAGTGTGTCTTCAAGGTCTCCAGTTAGTGTCTCTTGCATGGCTCAACCGCCCAAATCCTTCATTCGCTGTCTTGATAATTCACAGTCCGTTTGCCTCTGTTTCTGGTCCGGATGCGCGTGGCCCGTCGAGGTTTCTCATACGACACGTCGCTATCCTCATCAGAAACATCCCTCTGATGTTTCCTGGAGCGTGTGGTTCCTCGGCCACGGTCTCTTAGCTTTCTCTTCGGACTGCTCCGTGAACCTGAGCTGGCATCTGATTCAGACTCCCCAGACTCTTCGCTTTCAGAGTCGCTTCCATCATCATCCTCGTTGCTTCCTTCGTCGCTTTGCTTCCGTTGTTGCCGGGTCGCCTTGGGAAGCTTCTCCTGAGACCATCGCTCCCGATCATTCTCTGATTTGCACCTAGATTCGGAGTCACTCTCAGAGGCCGTCGAGCCCCTCAAGCGCTTGTAGCGGTTCGCATGCTTTCTTTGAGGTGTCATGCCCTCGTTTTCATCACTGGTCCTACTACTTTTGTTGTCTGCGTCTTCAGACTCTGAGGAGCCACCACGTTTTCTTTTTGAGGTACCGCCTGGTGGGTTTCTTGCCCTGGAGTTGGCCCGCTCCTTGCGCTTTCCATTCTTCGAATTAATCTCCATCTCTGGACTGAATTCTTCATCCGAGTCCTCCATAATGTAGCTCTTCTTGGGAAGAGTTCTAAGAGAGATTCCTTTGGATGCAACTTTAAGGCAAGGCTTCCTCCTCGGATGTGCCTTCTTGTCCTCCTCCGATGCGTCGCTCTTTTGCCATTCATCAGAGGAAGTATCCTCCTTTTTCCTCTGTCTTCGGTCTGCCTCCTCTTCACTTTGCGAACTGGAGGCATCCGACATTGCCTCAAGCTTCTTTCTGCGAGCGTTGGACGCACACTTTCGGTTTCTGAGCGACCTTTTTTCTTCACCATCACTTTGATTTTCTTCGTCTTCCGATTTAATTCTCTTCATGCGAGCAACAGATTTTTCTGAAACATCACTGAGCTCCTCTGAGTCCTGGGTGGTTGATGTTAATGCATCTGTGGTTGAGTTTTTTTTGCGGGTAACCTGCTGTTTTGTGGCAGAAGCTTGTTCTTGGCTTTCTGATGGTGCTTTACTCCTCTTCAGCTCTTTCGCATCCACCTTCCTTCCGTTTTGATAAGGGTGCTTTAGAGTTTTGGGCACCTCAACATCCTCATCAGAACTCCTTTCAGAATCCTGCTTGCTTGGCCGATTTTTCTGACGTCGGTCTCTGGAGCAATTCTCTTCTTCAGCATCAGTGTCATTCAATTTTTTTATTTTAGTGACAGCGGCTTTTGCAGTCTTCCTGGTGGACTTCCGCCTGACAACGAGATCCTCGTCTGACTCCCCGTTCACACTTTCATTCTGACTCTCCCCATCATCTGTGTTGTCCTCACTTTCCACTCGTTGCCGTTTGGTGCTGTGTCCATTAATGAAAGGAGACGTTTCTAAAAATAGAAATACAGAAATGCACTTTTCTTTAGTGTCAGTGACCCATTAATGCGTAATGTTAAAGGCCCATACTTCATTTGAGGTTAAACTTTAGTCCTAGCAATCAGTCCATTTTTATTTGAGCCTGAACAAGCGGAGCATGTTTTTGAAGGGTTAGTTCACCCAAAAATGAAAATTAGCCTGTGTTTTACTCACCCTCGAGGCATCCTAGGTGTATATGACTTTCTTTCAGACGAATCCAATCAGAGTTATATTAAAAATTGTCCTGCCTCTTCCAAGCGTTATCATTGCAGTGGGCGGGTGTTTATGTTCAACAGTCCAAAAGACGTCAAATAAAGCACGCACATCGCTAATAAAACAAACCTCACACGCCTCCGGGGGGTGAATGAAGGCCTCCTTTAGCGAATCCATGTTTTTGTAAGAAAAATATCCACATCTCAAACGTAATAAACACTTCTCTCTCACTTCATCTAACTGTGGTACGAGGAAGTCGTTCCGGCGGATGACGTAGAACGTCGGCGTTGCGTGATTAGTGACGAACGCGGATGGAGAACAAAACAAAACGCCGGTCATGAATTAGAAGTACAAGTCGAGGAATTGTAAAGAAAAATGTCGATATAAGCCAAGAGGAGACTGGTTTTCCTTTCCTAAAGTAAGGAAACATTGCTTCCTTTGCTCCTGTAAACAAACTCTAGCATATCTCAGATGTGCGCGTGACGCATGCGTCCTACGTCATCTGCCAGAAGAGTTTCCACATACGACAGTCAGCTGAAGTGAGAGAAAAGTGTTTATTAAGTTTGAAACATGGATATTTTTCTTACAAAAACGCATGGATTCTCTACAGGAGGCCTTTATTCAAGCCCCGGAGCCGTGTGAGGCACGTTTTATTATAAATGCGCGCTTAATTTGATTGAGACTGCTCAACAGAAACACCCGCTCACTGCAATGATAACACTTGGAATAGCCAGGACACTTTTTAATATAACTCCGATATGATTCGTCTGAAAGAAGAAAGTCATATACATCTAGGATGCGTCGAGGGTGAGTAAAACAAAGGCTAATATTAATTTTTGGGTGAACTAACCCTTTAATGGGTTATTATCATTAAGATGACAGACTTTCTTTGTAATAGAATGCTTGATAACAAATTGTGCAAAACCAAGAATGTGCAGATGAATAAAATCTGGATTTCATGCCGATTATAGAGCTCAAGGGATCTACCAAACGCACCCTCTTTTTCTGCTGATCTTCTAGATGGTCTGCGCCCAGCAGTTCTACTCTCCGCTTTGCTTTGAGAAGATGAATTACTGTCTGAGCTGCCATCACTTTTCTCTTCTTCACTGGCTGAAACGTCACTTTCATTTGACACTGTGAGAAAAACAATAACAATAAAAGGAGGGAATGTGCATTTAAGTTACATTAGATATTTTTCCCCCTTTTACACAATTTCAATGAAAAGGTCATTGCCCACGGAGTCCGAAATTTCCGCACGTTAAAAAATAAATACGACCTCACGTTGTGTCAATCATGTTTACACACTGCCGCCGAAACTTTCGTCTGTCATAAAAAATTTGGATCAGGTTCGATTTTCTGCGTTTTCGCATCCGTAGCAAGCATTTTGATAGGAAATGATGATGAATATGAAAAAGAAAAAATGCATACGAAAATTTCGGAGTCAGTGTGCAAGGACCTTATGCTGTGTAGATGTTTATACCGTCTTCCTCCTCTTCTGAATCAGAACTGCTCTGAATTACAGCAGAGCGTTTGCTAGCACGGGTCGCAGGTCGGGTGTTGCCTCCACGGCCCTCCTCATCCGAGCCTTCATCGTCTTCCAGGATATCCATGAGTTTCATCTTATTAACTGCTGCCATGGCGGTCTTGCGGGCTCTCGGCCGGCGACTGACAGATGATGATGACGACTCGTTCTCTGAGGTGTCAGAGCCTTGCGAAGGCTCTTGGTCAGAATCGCTGCAGGGTCGTGGTCTCTGACGCGCGTGTGACCTGTTGTGCCCATTCATCTTGGCATGGCCCTCTAAGATACATAAAGCAAATTTTAAAGGTGATTTGTTATTGTCAAAATAAGTATGTGTCATTTTCCACTAGCTGAAAGTGCTTTACATTTCTACTCAACTGCACACAATGACACACACAAGGATCTAACAGTTTGTCTAAAGGATCCCACCATGTCTGCGTTTTGCTCCATTATTCTGTGCAGCTCTTCTTGTGGCTCTAGTCTCTCGTCTGCAGACACGAGATGAGGATGAAGGTTCCTCATCCTCTTCCGACTGACTCAGAGATTGTTTGCTGTCATGGTCAGACCCTATATCAAAAGCACAAACTGTCTTTAGCAGCTGACGGTAATTCCAGAGTTTCTGAAAGTCCCATGTAATAAAAAGGAATAGTTTACACTACAATTACAGATTTACCTAGAATCAGTTTTACCAGTATTTTCGACATAATTATGGTCTATAATATCTGGTCAGTGGATAAACGGCTCCACCTGGTGGGTTTCTAAAAAATGGTGCCCATTAAAGCACTGTGCAATCAACAGGAACAACCACTGGTGGAGGTAGTGGATCCAGTTCATAAAACCAGGCTGAATGATTCATTCACAACTTGTACTGATCTGGATTTCGAGTGGTTGTAGAGTTAACTCATTGGAGAGGAAGACTCTCAGTGAATAATGCAGTCTCATGTCTGCTCATTTTAATGCTTTTTGTGTCCTTTTTAAAAAAAAATTTTTTATTCCAAATAAAGCAGCTGAAATAGTTTTAGAACATCTTCATGTGAATGGGCAGTTCACTTAAAAATAAGTTGATTTAAATTTTCGTTTTCAATTTAACTGACCTGTACACGGGTGTTGCTGCAACAGAGTGCCTTATATTTTAAGACCAGAAACAAATCATGTTTTTACGAGTTGTCTGTCTTACCGGATGAAGATGAGCAACTCCGTCTGAAGGTGTCCTTGGCTTCATTGACTCTGCGGCGCTCTGGTCCAGACACTTTGGCTAAGGTAGATTTGGCTGTAGACTGTTCTGTGTTTTCCTGAGTTTTTAAAGTAGACCTCTTTTGACTAGGGTCAAGAGGGGGGAAAAAAAGAGACAGGTTTGTTTTCTGAATGCAAACTATTCGGAAGAAAAAAAAAGGTTAGATTAACAATAAGAGACGGCAGCATAAACTTGGCAGGAGGATCCGCTTACCGTGAGGATCCTTGGCTGGAAGGAGCCGACTCCTGATGCTGTAATTTCTTCCTGAATCTTTGACTCCGTCGCAGCTTTAAGCTACTTTTGATGGCAGTCTTATAGTCTGAAAGGATTTTTTGTATACTCTCCTCGAAAAACGCTGACAGTCGCAAAGTCATACTGTAAATCTGTCAAATCAAATAGTGCAAGAACATCAACGTGTCTTCAAGAATTAAGCAAAAAGGCAAGCAGAAAGAAGAAAAGGCAGAAAAAGACAAGATTATCCAAGACATTAATGCATTACCTTTGACCGTTTGTTTGGCGTGTAGGCTTTAGCATTGGCAAAAATAAGTCTGGTGTCCTTGCAGAGGTCTATGGGATTTTCATAGCGCTCTTCTTCAAGAGTTTGCCGCACTGTTCCAAGGTCCATAGGGGTGTCGATAATATTACAGTAATCCTGGAGACACAAAGAGGAGACATTTAACTTCCTGCTTCTACTGACAATGCTTGATCCCACCTTTAAATCAGATCCACATCTCCAGATTAAGACAGATAACCCCTTCCCTAACATTATTCCATTGATTGTTTTTTTGGACTCACAGGATATTCTCTCTGATCTACAGGATCCCGGAACGGCTCTGAATCCTCACACTCAAACATGTAGTCCAGCAAACGTTTGCAGTGGTCCTTCCATGCATCCCTGTCCTGCACAACCTCCAGTGATGACTGACAAAATCAACACAAAACAGCATCTTAAACATTCATTTTCCCATCTGAACAAACTTCTCGTTTTCAGTTTAGTGATGGAATTTTTCAAATCAAAGCGCAGGTATATAGTAGAATAATCAACAGTGTAACAGGATCTCTGGTGACATTTCTAACAATGTGCAGTATATACTATCATTCCACCCAAAAATTGAGATTACAGTACAGTGTACAGTGTACAATATATATATATATATATATATATATATATATATATATATATAATTAGGGCTGCCACTAATGACTATTTTTATTTCGATTAACCTATTGACTAATTTATCGATTAACCGATTAATCTTAAAGATTAATTTCCCACAAACAATCTTTTATTAAACTATATCATAACTATTATTTTATTAAACCAAATGAAATCCAAATTTCTATGAAATCCTTTTTTTAAAGCAAAGGTAATGTGCAACAGAGTGCAAGAAGCAAGTGTGCATCTCAGTCCAAATCACTGAAATCAAAGTTCAGTATTATAGTGCAAGAATGACAACATATCCACGTGTTCTAGTCTACTAATAATACAATTATAATCAAAACACACTTTTTTAAAAAGTATTAACCAGAAATGTTATTTACCAGAATTTATTTAGGGAAAAAAATGTAAATGTACAGTATTTCTGAAAAAAAAAAAAAAAAAAAAAATTGGAGATGCTTCCTATAATAAATTTTTTTTTGTGGTAATAAAAATAGATGTAAGTGAACAATAGCCTTTAAATTACTTAAAATACATATATAATAGCAATGAGGCAATAATAATTAGTTCAAATAAAGTATCAAAAGCAAGAAATCATATGGTTTTATTGAACAAAACTGTTAAAATACATAATGTATTATAAACAATAGAGCTAATGTACATCACGCATTACAACAAAGGCCTGCAGGGGGCGCCAACGGCCTGATGATTATTTTTTACACATTGCTGTGCAACCTAATACTGGTTTAATATTAACCAAGCACCATTTCATTCAAATGTCCACTCAATTTTTAATATTTGGCCATTTCTTTAGGACAGAAATGCTATAGCCACTGTAATTAAAAGAATATGTGGACATCAAAACATGTAAACTCAAGAGTGAGGGTTTGAGCTTTTATTTTGAAACCGCTATGTATTCTCCTGTGTTTGCGTAGATTTATAAATGATTTACCTTACATATCTGGCGCACGTTGCATTCCCAGATGAACGCTATAATAAACCCAAACTCACAACAACATGCAGAGATGGAGTTTGAGACGCTCCACACATGTAAATGATAACAGTTCCTGTGGAACCTGCACACATGTAAATGATAACAGTTCCTGTGGAACTACTGTGAACGGAGCCGCTGTGTGATGCACGTACTTCACCTACACGCATGTAAATAATTAAAGCACATATACTGTATTAGAACTGCATCGCATATAATTATTTAATTAAATCGTAGCATTTGTGAATTGACAATTATGCTTAATTATGATTTTTAAATGGGTTTAATATATCATGCAGCCTTGGGACACAGTCTAATGTGTTGTATGGATTCTTGTCCGTGAAATGCGTCACTTCCGGTATTTTCCCGGTTAGTCGATGCGAGCAAAATGAAGATAAAAATCGAATAGTCTAATAAAATCGACGAATATCGCAACAGCCCTATATATAATATCTTACACTACCTGGCGAAGTCTTTGTCCTGCAGAGGTTCCAGGTGCATCAATGTCATCCATGTCCTAAAAGCCACACCAGAATCAATCTCAAGTTTTGCAGAAAATACAGGCTAAGAAAATACAGGTGAAAAATACACTCACCTCATCTTCAGAGTACTCCATGTTTTCAACGGCATTGTAGATCTCCATAATATCTGTACAGTGAAGTTTACTGTGGCCGGGGAGAAAAAAAAAAAGTTGATTAAATTACAGAACAAAAACATAAATATCACAAATGGACCTTCACTAAAGACCAACCTTATGAACTTCAGAAGAACATTTGTTATGATTTTTGCAGACTGTGCAATCTTGCTGCGGGGCTCATTAAAAGTCTTGGCATTTTGTTCAATGTGTTTTACATCCCAGATCAATGCAGACAGTCTCCTAAAAAACCCAAGACATGTTAAAACACACCAAAAGTAGACATACACTAATGACATGAAACACTCAAACATTCAAACTCTTATTCCACTTTCTTTCTGTGGGACATAAACTCTTTTGTAGAATGATCAAACTGCTCTTTTCGTACAAAAAAATTACCATAACAGTAGCGAGTCCAATGGGGTTAACATGCTTGCATGTTTAAGCTTCTGCAAAAACCAACAAAGTTTCTTTTTGCACGTCAAGCTGCAGGTGACAATATATGACGTGCTCCATTTATGTGCACTGATCAGTTTATATGAAAAAAGCCTAAATTAAATCTGTTCATATAAAGTGTCTCTTCAGCAGACCTGGATTAAACCACTCAATTCATTTAGATTACGTTTTGCAATGTCTTTATGAACTTTCTGAGTCAAAGTCTTGATGGTATGGATTTTCTGATAGAGGGACAGAAATCTCTCAGGTTTATTAAAAAAAATAAATTACCATTCGTTTCTTGAAGATGAATGAAAGTCTTATGGGTTATATGGAAAAGTGCAGCATGAACATTCTTCAAAATGCCTACATATGTGCATCATGGAACAAAGATTTTCATATGGGTTTAGAAATGTTACGGGGATGAGTGAATGGTGACAATTTTTATTTTTAGGTGGACTGCAACTATTAAGATACAAACCTGTAGAAGTTGTGCTTAAGCCGCAGTTTGATGGTGTTAAGGTCGGTGGGGTATGCAATGATAGCACAATATGTTGGATACTGAGTGAGGTCGACCGGACCAGAGAAAGGTGCTGCAATAGCTGTCGAAAAGAACAGAAATCGACATTTAATACATCAGAGGGTCACAGTTAAATGGTTAGTTTACAGAAAAGTGATATTTTCTGTCATTATCTTGTTCCAAACCCAGAAGTCCATCATTGAACTTTGGAACACAATTGACCTATCGGTAAGCTCCACCCCCCTTAGTTACTGTTGCGCACTCAGACACTACTGTCTTACAATGATGTGAAAACCTTGTCCCAAGATATTTTTTGATACATTTTGGACACGGAAAGATGTGGGACTTAAATATGACATGGAGTTATATATAAAATATTTCAAAATAAATATGTAAAAATACAGATCACAATGCAAACAGGAGAATTCTCATGTTACGGTCTTTACGATCGCAATGACAACATCTCGGATCAACCCTGTTCATGTACCTCAGTGTAAGATTAAATTAATTTACATTTAACCAGTTTAATATGAAGAATAAACTCCATCAAACCGATGAAAGCTTCGGCTCTTCCAATGTTTTTTCATGGAGCTGAAAACTGAGTGCAACTGATACTCGACTGCCATTGGCTCATCTGCGTTCGAGGGGAGGGGCTTACCGATAGGCAGTGTTGGGGTAACGCATTACAAGTAACGCGAGTTACGTAATCGGATTACTTTTTTCCAAGTAACTAGTAAAGCAACGCATTACTTTTTAATTTACAAGAGAATATCTGAGTTACTTTTTCAGATAAGTAACGCAAGTTACTTTTCCCCCCCAATTTATTGATTGACAGCTCTCCTGTCCCCATGTTGCGAGAAATCAGATGTTACTGTAGTTCTAGAATAAATATGAATATGCATTCATTCATCTCACTCACAAAAACACTCAAAATGTTTATTGCTGAAGCATGTTGAAATTTCTTCTTCTGCATTCTACTCTACGGACTTAAATGTACTTTTTCCCTTCAGCCTGAGGCTTATTCATTTCCCTTTTGGTGTGAAAATTACTTTTAAAAGTAACTTTCCCCAACACTGCCGATAGGTCATTTGAAGATATTTTTCATTTTTGTCCATACAATGAAAGTCTACGTAATCCAAAAAAAAACGGCTAAATTCAAATGGATTACTTTTACAAAGTCTCCTTATAAACTTTTAGAAGCTTTTAAAACTCACAAAAAAAAACATCTGAGTCAAGGGATCGCAATGTCATTAGGGTAAGTAAATTAAAGGCACAATATGCACGTTTTTTTTATTAAAATCCAAAAACCACTAGAACAGTTTTATATATTTTGCTGACTTGTGTACTTAAATTATCCCAAATGTTTCGAAGAATGTTTAAAAATTGCCAGAGAAATAAGCAATTTTAATAAGTGACACGGACCGTGTCCATAGTATCATTGTGTCGCCTGCCAATGACGTCATAACCCCTCGATTTCACCAAAGACGCTTTAATATGTTGTGCGTTTTATTAGACCGGTGACGACTGCACAGAGTAGCATTATAACAGAACGTTCAAATGTATCTAGTATGATAAAACAGCGCTGCTTTACCCCACATACGCACGACCGGAAGGACCGGAAGCAGTCGACTGTGGCATAATAAAAGCTCTGCTGCTTTCGAGCTGTGTCGCACTCGTTCTGCGGCCTCGTTTCGCTTCGACGGCTTTCAGCCTCACCCTTGCTTCATTCTACTACGTTAATAAATCATTAGCTCATCCATGAACATGATTTCTGCCCGAGTCCCGTCGGATTGCATCGGCTGTGGGGATGAAGACGACAACTCCCATGATTCCACACTCAGTCACGGCGTCATCAAACTACGCCTTTGTCTCTGTTTATTTTGAATACGCGCCCTCTAGCGGCGAAAATGACATAGTGCCTTTAACTATCCCTAGTCCAAGTAGTTCATCAAAATTTGGATAATTAATATAGGATAACGCACCCACAGACACAAGCTGTTCTATGCCTGCAATGATGCGTGCACTCTCTTGGTCTCGACCCTTGTCCCCCCATTCATCCTCCTGAGGTTTATACAGGATATCCATCATCTCCTCATCTGTCACTGGCACTCCTGCACTCTCCGACTCCGGCTGCTCAGCTGCAGAAACCAAAATAACCCCCCAATAAAAACCACTTGCTTAATTAAAACACAATGACCAAGTACCTTTATGTTAGAAATGGAGTAAACATACAAACTCAGAATATTTAGTGCAAAGACTGCTGATATGCAAATTTCATCTCAACTGAAAAAAAAAAACACTGCAAGAAACATGCATCGTGTATCTGGTTTAAGATAATGCTTGAGTGGTCAGAAGTACCGTGTTCAGGAATAGCCTCCACGTCCCAAGGACTCAGCTTTTCTGTCTCCCCATTGTCCCACCTGCAAAAACATGGAAGTTAAAAACCACTGCCAAATGACTAGGGTTGCAAAGGGGTGGAAAATTTCCGGAAACTTTCGAAAAATCCCTGGAAGATTCCAAAAAATCCTGGAAAGTTTCCAAAATTTCTGGAATGTTTCCTAAATTTACTGGAAATTTTCTACCTTTTTGCAACCCTATGCATAATTGTCTGTGCTAAAATATATATATATTTTTTTTTTATCATGCAGAGTCACTGTAAGTAAGCCATTGCTATAGTTTGTCTTTCTGAAGAGTGTAAACACTGTGACTGTGAATGTTTAAGCAGCCTGACATGTCAACATCTGACTCAATAAACTGTTCAAGTTTGGGGCGGGACTAGCCATTTACCAGATGACAGAAGGGGCGTGGAATGAGTGTTTGGAAACTTATTTCTCATGCATATTATTTTTGCAAGTCCATTTAGTTCCTAAAGAAAATCACAGAAATCACAGATTCACCTTAAACTGAAGCCAACAGGAAAATGACAATGATGCAAAGTCAGGCATTTGAGAAACAATGTCATATTTAATAATAAATAATAATAAAAAAACAAGTGATGTTTTTTCACAGATGAACATTATAATTACCAATGAATTCAACAACAACAACAATCAAAAAATTAAAAATAAAAATACAATGACTTGGTACATAAATATGGCTTTAAAATGTGGCACATCAGTCAAGTGCAGCATGAAAGCAACAGTGAATGAGGTGTGTGTATCAGGACGGGCTCGCTTACAAGTCTGCATGAGGACATATATTAATGGCCTGATATCATCCACTACCTATACAGTGAGAGAGACACACAGAGGTAGTGATTATGATGTGTTAAATGAAACATGGTTTTTAAATAGTTCAGTATATATTTTCTAAACAAGATATTCAAGCCTCAAGCACGTTTTTAGAGATCGCACCATGGCATGACCGCATAGTATGAAGCAGTGGGAAATAAATTTTTCTGTAAGCTCAGACTTACTGTGGCTGAAGGTAATCTAAATTAGGTTTTTAATTGTATTTAGTGACTGTACAATAGATTTTTTTTCACACTTAGTGTAATATCGAAGACAGGTCAACAGGTCACCAGAAAATAGTTCTCATTTATGGCTTATGAGATAAGGTGTGGTTTGTTCTTCCAAACTGTATTTCCCATTATTTAATATAATTATTATCTCATAATAATTATATTAATCATAATATAATTATATCATAGTTACACACTCAATGCACAACCTCTTCAACGTGGTGCATTTGTACTAAAAAACTCACTGTCATTATAGCCAAGCTTCCATCCAAAGATTTTTTTTTGTAGATATTGTTTTGTTTTGTGGAAAAAGATTTCGCGAATCAAAATATTTCCTGATATAGCAGATGGAAATGCTGATTATTGTTAATGAAATACGTTTTCTTTATTGTGAATTTAAGTTAAGTCTGTAAAAGCTAAAATGTTGCTACCATATTTTTAACGGTGAAGTTCTGGCAACCACAGCTGTCGATATTTTACCGTTTCTGGAATGTTTCCTAAATTTACTGGAAATTTTCTACCTTTTTGCAACTCTACAAATGACTAGAGCACACCATCCAATAATTCAGTTTGGGCTTACTTGACTTTGAAGCACTGAAAAAGGCTGTCGGGATATTCGGACTGATATGGTTCCTGACAAACTATGGTCCCAAACCACCAGGCGTCATCGATCACAGAGCGAAACCGATTACCTACAGAAAACAAAGCACGAAAACCAGGACAGGCATGACTCAATATGAATCAAATTGAATTCTGATGCAGGCTACCAAAATAAACTCAATGACCTCAGGTCATGACTCCAAACTTACTCGATGTCCACACTCTGTGCCGTGCCTCATCGTAGCTTTGACGCAGCACCAGAAAATCAATTACATCCGGCATATCATGATATCTAAGAAAAAACAGCACCAAAACATGTACTTTTGCTTAATCTACACCAAGATGCATCTTTGCCAATATAATTGAAATTTCAACTCATATCTTCCCAGCTTACTTTATTGAAAAGGATCGGTCTGTAATTTTGCCTGTTCCAGGGTCAATCTGGGTGAGTTTCAGACAGCACAGGGTTGGAGGGCACACTTCATACTTGATCCCTGTTATTTTCACAAACTCTTGGTCCTGGTAAAAACAAATGATTTACGAGATTTTCAAAGCCAGACATGCTGAAAACAAAAAGTTAGGCGAGTTGCATGTATTGTTTAAAAGCATGTTCAAGGTTAAATACAACAAACACAAGTGTATGGGAACTTAATCGTGTGAGACACTTCTGGGAGGTAATCATATTTTGAAGATAAACTTTGGCTCAGGCATTTCAGATCATGACTGGTATTAGTTTAGTTATCAATGTATACATGCAATGGGGAAGTTGTGGCCTAATGGTTAGAGAGTCGGACTCGTAACCTAAAGGTTGTGGGTTCGAGTCTCGTACCGGCAGGGATTGTAGGTGGGGGGAGTGAATAACCAGCGCTCTCTCCCACCTTCAATACCACGACTGAGGTGCCCTTGAGCAAAGCACCAAACACCCAACTGCTCCCCGGGCGCTGCAGCATAAATGGCTGCCCAATGCTCTGGGTGTGTGTTCACGGTTTGTGTGTGTTCACTGCTGTGTGTGTGCACTTAGGATGGGTTAAATGCAGAGCACTAATTCCGAGTATGGGTAACCATACTTGGCCACATGTCACTTCACTTTATGCATAATGTTAAGATCAGATCAATGCAAAGTTTTTCAAAGCACTTATGAAGGGATGCATCTGATAAAATCAACTGTGTCAGAAATTTTTTTTTGATCTTACTCTTAACTCCATCTTCTTCCATGGCTGTCTGTCTGGGTTAATGGGGTACAGGTTAGTCCTGCAGACTGCATCCACATATGCCTCATGACCCTGACGAAAATAGATGACCTGTGGACAGATAAAAAAAATAAATAAACATTAAAAAGGCTTTTCATCTGATTAAGACAAGAATCAGCTGTACATTAAAACAGATGAGATGAAAGAAAACTTATTCTGTACCTCGTCTCCCATTTGAGGGACGAAGGGGGATTTTCGGGGAATGACGTCAGTAATCCATGCTGAGGGACGGAACTCAATCGAGATTTCTCTATTAACGGGCAGTCTCGGTTTTGGTTGCTAAGGACAACACATTTAAAAAAATAAAATAACATAAAAAAATAAAAGGGGCATTTAAATGCCCAGTTATTTTTAAAAACATTTTTTCCAAACCATTTTTTCCCCAACACAGGCCTAAATTAAGTGCTTATTATTTATTCACTTTTTAACACCATGCCAGCATCAAGGCTATTTTCATGGCAATCTCTGAATAAATTATACAAGGTATACAATTCTAAATTAAGCGCTAGCCAATAATAAAAATGTCTCTCCAGAGTTACAACTAGGAATTTGAGGAAGCCAAAAATCGGGCGGGGAAGGGTGGGCTACTTAAGTACCAAGGGGATAAATTTTAAAAGGACCATATAAGAATTTGTAATAGTGACAGTAATGGCTGTGCTGCACACCTTTGGTGTTTTGCTTTTGGCTTTCTTGTGCTTTTGGGGTGAAGACACCTGTTCTTCTTCATCTATGGTTTGATCCTCATCTGCTACATCTTCGTCTTCCTCATCCTCTTCCTCAGAGCTGCTGATCCTGCGGCTTGCACGCCACCGAGACGATGGAGACGCAGTTGGTCGCAAACTTATTCCTGCATCTGCCATCCAGTCGGAATAATCACTGGAGGAGTGACTTTAATTATGAACAAAGAGACGTAAATATTTCCTCGTGAACATGTTAAAGATGACTAGTGGTCGACCGATATATCGGCCGATATCTGCCATTTTTCAAATATCGGCCGATAAGTTTTTCTGTTTGGCCGATGTGTTCGAGGCGGGACTTTTATTTTGACGGCGCAGAGAACGGCTGCGGCAGTGCCTGAGCACACAGTGCTCACATTCTCCCTCTTGTAGCTGTTGTCATTCAGTTCCGTCTAATACGGATAGAAGTCTATCTAATAATCAGATAGAACTGTTAAACAAAGGAATTAAAATGTATACAAAAAAGTATTATAATGATTGCTTTAATCGTTTGTGTGCATTGGGCATAAAGGCAAACATTATAATACTTTCTCGTTTGCCGTCAGCATTCCACAAATACGCATTTATATAATTGAAACAAATCTTTGAATGACTAATGAACATTTAATTTCACAAACCTTGCAGACTTAGTCGAATCTAGTTGAGATCTTGTGAAGTGAGCACGTGACCTTCAAATTATGCTGCACTTTATACATTTGCCCACTGTCATATTCATGTCATTTTCACTGTGTGCAGTATGTAAAATGAGTGTTACCTTGGCTTTATTTGAAAAAATATGATTCCCAATGCACACAAACTTCCCAGAATACTGAGTGCCCTGTTGGTTACAGTGTTTACTTCCTTTTTAATTATATTTTTATTAAATATTTATTTGTGAAAAATACTTTTTCTTCTAGAGGACAAGTATGTTTATTTTACACCTTTATTTTTTTTATCCATTTTCAAATGCCTTAAATATGAATTTAAATAAAATTATATCGGCTTTTCCCAATGCACACAAACTTCCCAGAATACTGAGTGCCCTGTTGGTTACAGTGTTTACTTCCTTTTTAATTATATTTTTATTAAATATTTATTTGTGAAAAATACTTTTTCTTCTAGAGTACAAGTATGTTTATTTTACACATTTATTTTTTTTATCCATTTTCAAATGCCTTAAATATGAATTTAAATAAAATTATATCGGCTTTATATCGGCCACCCTGCTTTCCAAGATATCGGCATCGGCTGTCAAAAAAACCCATATCGGTCGACCACTAAAGATGACAACAGAAAATGACACACAAAAAAAAATTATAATAAAGACTTAAAGGGATGGTTTACCCAAAAATGAAAATTCTGTCATTAATTTTGTAATTAATTCACCCTTATGTCGTTCCAAGCCCGTAAGACCTTTGTTCATCTTTGGAACACAAATGAAGATATTTCTGATGAAATCCGAGAGATTTCTGACCCTCCATAGATAGCAAGGGTCCTACCACGATCAAGGCACAGAAACGAAGGGCATCAGTAACATAGTCCATGTGACATCAGGGGTTCAACTGCAATTTTATGAAGCTACGAGAATACCATTGCTCAAAAAACTAAAATAACGACTTTATTCAACAATTCAAAATGCTGCTAGGGTAACAGGGAGGAGAAGAATTGTTGAATAAAGTTGTTATTTTAGTTTTTTTGTGCACAAAAAGTATTCTCGTAGCTTCATAAAATTACAGTTGAACCACTGATGTCACATGGACTATTTTGTCGATGTTCTTGGTACCTTTCTGGACCTCGATCATGGTAGGACTCTTACGGCCTATGGTGGGCCAGAGAGCTCTCGGATTTCATCAAAAATATCTTAATTTGTGTTCCGAAGACGAACGAAGGTCTAACAGGTTTGGAACGACATGAGGGTGAGTAATTAATGACAGAATTTTCATTTTTGGGTGAACTATCCCTTTAACACTTTAAAGGTGTAGCTTATAATTTCTGCGTTATGAGCAGGACCAAACAGAATTCCAAAAATAACAACAGTTTCCAAGTGAACCGTTTCGACAGTTCCAAAGTTCTGATTTTACATTCACACTTTAAAAGTCTTTAAAAGGTGGACTGAATTTAATTTAAGTTTATAATCACTGTTGGAACAACACACCTGCATATATTATTATTATTAATAATAATTTCCAAATAAGTACTGTATTTCATTATGCAATAGTACTTTTCCCCAAATCTCAATATTCATGAAGCATTGCGAAATGCTTGGAATTATGTGAATATTAAAAAAATAAACCTAAAATATATCATATAATGAAAGGGCTTCACCTATAATGCTAACAGAGATATAAAATTATCAAAGTGATAAATTATCATATTAAGTTACTTCAGTTAGACGCCACCACATTGCCTGTTTGCAATGATTTTTTGAGTAGGAGTAAAAAAAAAAAATGTCTGTGGCAATCATTTGAGAAGTTTAAACTGAACATTTCTATTGTTCCATTTAGATTTACTGTGCATTATTATTGGAAACAAATTGCAATTCCACTTGGTGTCACTAGAGGCAGATATTACATACTTCCTTTTTAAAATTACTACGGTGGCAGAATAAATACCTTGAGCTATCACTCCTCCATTCCTCTTCATCCTCAACAGACAAATCAACGTCACTGCCCTTGATTTCACTGCCCTACACCATTAATACACATATAATTATTAACATGTATGATATGGCATAAGAGTATTGTAAAAAGTGAATTAACTCAAACACTCAACCTCAGAAGATGCCGTTTCCTCCCCCTCCTCACATGAGAACTCGATGTACTCTTCAGCTAGACTCTCTTTACGCTCCTGATTCTTCTGCCGTTTACGGGACTGTGCACGTTTGAGGCCCAGCTCTTCGTCATCAGAATCATCCTATGGGCAGAACAAGATGTTTACTCATTGCTGCCATCATACCCATGATGCAATTCATAGAGAGGCAGAACCCTACCCTGAAGGTGGTGTGGGCCACTCTCCTTCTCTTGGTGTTGTAAAGGGTGACCTCCTCCTCACCCTTCGTTATTCTGAATGACTCCTGCGCCCTAAATGAACAAGTCATGTAGTAAATTAAATCTGTAAATCCGTACCATCTGAAGACCAACCAATAGCTTTCTTGTTTACTTGCCGATAACCAACAACTTAGCAAAGACATTACTATCTCACAATAGAACATAATTAAACTCGGCATACCACTTTTCCATTTGAATATTTTTCGATAAAGTGACAAATGTATAAACATCTATACATATATACAAAACTCCATTAAGAGCTTAAGTAGCTAAAGAACATTCAGCAACATAAAAATATATTAATCCGAAGTTCATGACAATCATAACTATTTGAAGGAATTTTAACTAATGTAATTGCATTAGTTGCATATAAAGTTTAACTTTTTTTAATATAAAAGTAACTTTTAAATACAATAAACCAATATGGGCGTAAACAAATGTTTCAAACTGATTCAAACAATAGCAAAGAATCTTATATTTAATCTCATCTGGCATGTTTTAGACAAGATCAAAATGTCATATGTAAACAAATGTTTTAAAAAGTATTTTGTGTCGTTCGAGAAAAACACCATAGCAAACAAATATGAACGACTGTTGTAGGTTACGTTTACACAACAACAATGTAGTATAAAAACAGAAAAGTTTTTCCCTTGCGTTTTTAAAAAGTTTCATATGTCGTATATACAACGTTTTCAAAAAGATTCACCTTTACACATATCCGTGAAAACTGCCAAAAACACTGTACTACGTATGCCAGGCCATTAGTTGGTGCTGTCACCTTGTTAGTAAACAGTACCTGTAGGGAAGTGACGATTATATGTTGTATATGACGTGTCTCCGCTGTTGGTTGTAATATTGGTGAAATAAATCCACACTTTGCTGAAGAAGCGTTAGCAAACTATTGAGCAGCAACAATAGTACCATGTACTCCGCCATTGTTGTGTACGTTTGTTCGCGCTTGCCTTTAAAATCGACACGTACTGCGTATGTCTACATACCTGACACGTACTACGCACACGCATGACGTCACAGTTTTCAAAGATTCCCGTATTGGGTGTTTACATGGAAACCATAATGGTGGCATTTTCAAAAACTTTCAAAAATATGCGTTTTCAGTCCCCAAAACACCGTTGTCGTGTAAACGAATAGGCAAAATGCATAAAAAGTTTCCTGTTTTTGGCTGAAAACATTGTGTAAATGGCCCCTTAAAGTGTAAATACTTTTTGACTTCCTTCTCCCTGACATGCGGGCCAGAAACAAAGTTGCGCAGCCTGTTTTATTTACAGGGCTTACCATATTATTTCTGCCTTTCTAAGCGCCACCTACTGTCAGAAAGTGAATTTGGATTTTCATGTTGAGGTTGTTTGAGCGTATGCCTCTTTACACCGTGTTGTTAATTTAAAAATGATTAATGGAAAAGCAGCATTCTAAAAATGCATTTTAGACATCTAAATTTGTAATATGGCATCTAAAATTATTGATAGTATGTTGTGGCTGCGATGACAATACTGTTAAAGTTCATTATAATGATATATCATTTCCGAATACCTGCATGTGTAATTTGTATATAGATAAAATAATGGAATAGGAACCTGTAGCCACTTGCTGTAAGCTCAGGCACCACCACCCTGCGTCTCCAGGCCTGAAGGTCCCTCTCTGTGGCCATCTGACTGCGTGGAGCATTCTGGTGCATCTGCCGGACTCCCTCTACCTGTCCACTGCGCCGTAAACCCACATTAGGTGGAGATTGAACGTCCATGCGCTCGTTGAGTGACACTGTGCAATCAAATGCAGCTACATTAGATGAAACTCTGTGGAGCTTCGACTGCAAATTTACAGAAGTGGATGTCGCTCTAAGACTACATGCTAATGGAGTTCAACTTATAGGCACCTCTGCGGGGAGTTCCAGGCTCTGGCACACGGGCAGGAGCAGGAACACCACCCTCTGGATGAGCTGCAACCTGTCTGTCCTGGTGCTGCTGAAGCTGGTGGATGGCAAAATCCAAGGTGCTGTGACGAACCTCCTCGCTCTCCGCAGACTGCTGACTGATCACCTGCTCCACGACCTCACCATCACCTGAAACATTTTTAAAGGTGGCAATCAGAAACACTCCATATGATAATATAGTTTTCTTGCCTGTGCCTGTAAGTTTGTGCTTTGTTATTTTTTATATGACAACTTCTGAGCTTTACGATCTGTTAGTTTTATCATGGAATTCAAACAATAAATGTGGTTTTTGGTGCTCTTTAATTTGGTGTGACAGATCGCTGTTGCTACCGCCGTTCAAACAGCAGTGCAAAGTACATGCAAAATAAACATCAATGAACATCAGAAGGTATGTTGAAAAGAAACAGTACAACTTACTGAAAAGTATCATGTCTCATGTAATCGCTTAATCAGTGTTTTAACTGCGGAAAGATGTAAATAAACATCTTGGGAGTTACCGGAATGACTTTACTAGTAAATGCAAAAATGCGCTGTTCACACTGGCAACAATGTTCCGGGTTTTTTTTTTTTAATCGGTAAAGCACCATTCACACATCGGTTTCAAATTACCAGTAAATTATGTGACATCATTAACCAGAAATGACCTCTTAATGGCTGCGCCTCCTGATGTTGTTTGTAAACATGGAGGGGTCAGTGTTTCTGTTGATCGTTTTATTTTTTGTGTCAAACGTTAACATTAATGCAGTTGCTTTAGGCCCAGAGAAATCGCATTACACCACTTCAAACCGAACTAAACAGCGTGGAGTAAATGCGTCATCTTTCAGAATGCTATGATTGGCCCGGAGCCACTGACGTTTGAATTTCAATGGCTCTGGATTGGCCCGGGGTAGACGTCTTACATCAGCGCGTTCTGAACTCGTATGTTCTCATACCGGTAATCTTCATTCTGTGTTCACACACAGCATCATTGCGGCAATTTACTGGTAATGTTACAACTTCCCATTTTTTTGGAAGTAAATTGCCAGAACGAATTTATCGGTATTTATGGAAAAGGTCCTGTTCACACACGATCTCTTAACGGTAATTTACCAGTAAAGTCTGTATGTGTGAAAGGGGCTAATGTTGTAATGTAATTTAACATTTACCTCAGGAAAGCCATTCAATGTCCATAAACTCATTAGTTCGCTAGAAATACTATAGGAGTACTTTACTAAAATGTATTACATATTAATTATATTTTTGCTTAACCTGATAGTGAAATCTTCATTGTTTAATGCAATCTATGTTTGAGTAAATCTTTCATGAAAACAATTACAGTCACAATTGTTTTCAACAATGAAATGACAGTAAAAAAACTAATGATAAGTTATTATAAAACTGCCTTGTGTGCAATTTAAATTACTCTAAATAATAAGAGTACTGATTATTAAATAAATTGATTTATTGGTTTGTAAGCTTTTAGCTTTATTTTAGCCTAAAATTTCAGTTTTAGTTATAAAAAAATATATCAATCAATTTGGTGCATCACACTTTATTTTTTAAACAAAGGAACCAGTTCTGAAACTGGTTTTTCAGTGCTGTTTACAGTGTACTCCACGTCATGTTAGAGCAGTCAACAGTGAACTAGGGACACGCTACAAAAATGTTATGACAACAGTAGGGAACTTACTTGTAGCGACGTAGCCCAGTTGAGGGACTAGATGCTCATCTGCAATGTTTTCTCTTCCTGGGACCTGAGTGACATGCACAAAAATAATGACTCATAACTCGAAGACTGTAGCAAAGAGAGTCAAAAGGTTGGTATCGTTTGATAGAAATCTTTCTGTAATTTCAGGGGAAAAAATATTTCATTTTGACATTCTCCTGCTGAGAAATAGCTGATAAAATGTAAGAAATTTGAGTGTTCAATACTTTTTTCATATCTGTCTAATTTGACATTCAATATCTCAGGACAGAAATAAGGTAGGAGGAAAATTATTTTTTGATGATGTTCCCCAGCATGTTAGCTGTATTTGTAATTTTGTGGTGATAGCAAAAAGTATCCAAAAGTTACAGTATTTTTTGTAACAAAATAGGCCTTTTTGTTTAGCTCTCGACTCCCTGAAGGCATTTTTAAAACTGTTGTTTTCTGAGTGACATGCACAAAAATAATGACTCATAACTCGAAGACTGTAGCAAAGAGAGTCAAAAGGTTGGTATCGTTTGATAGAAATCTTTCTGTAATTTCAGGGGAAAAAATATTTCATTTTGACATTCTCCTGCTGAGAAATAGCTCATAAAATGTAAGAAATTTGAGTGTTCAATACATTTTTCATATCTGTCTAATTTGACATTCAATATCTCAGGACAGAAATAAGGTAGGAGGAAAATTCTTTTTTGATGATGTTCCCCAGCATGTTAGCTGTATTTGTAATTTTGTGGTGATAGCAAAAAGTATCCAAAAGTTACAGTATTTTTTGTAACAAAATAGGCCTTTTTGTTTAGCTCTCGACTCCCTGAAGGCATTTTTAAAACTGTTGTTTTCTGAGTGCCATACACAAAAATAATGACTCCTAACTCCAAGACCGTAGCAAGGACAGTCAAAAGGTAGGTATCGTTTGATAGAAATATTTCTATATTTTTAGGGGGGAAAAAAATCTTTGCATCTGAATATTCTCATGTTGAGAAATAGTTGATCAAATGTAAGAAAAGTTAGTGTGGTCAAGGGAAATATTTCATATTCTTATTCTAAGGTAAAATAAGGTAGGAGAAATTTTTTTTTTTTGGTGATGTTCCCCAACATATGTGCTGTACGTGAATTAAATTTTGTGGTGATATCATGAAGTAATCGAAAGTTACAGCATTAAAAAATCTTTGCATCTGAATATTCTCATGTTGAGAAATAGTTGATAAAATGTAAGAAAAGTTAGTGTGGTCAAGGGAAATATTTCATATTCTTATTCTAAGGTAAAATAAGGTAGGAGAAAAAATTTTTTTTGGTGATGTTCCCCAACATATGTGCTGTACGTGAATTAAATTTTGTGGTGATATCATGAAGTAATCGAAAGTTACAGCATTTGGAACCAAGGTAGCCCTTCTCTTATTTTTTTATTTGAAGTAATGCCTCTCAAGTTTAGTCAAAGCCCCAAACAATTATACTCGTTTTATTCTACTCGATGAGACCTTTCAAATGACATATGACACATGACTATCTGAGCTGTATGATGTTTCTGACATATTAGCGTACATTGCACAAAAACATTTTTCATAAATTATGAAAAATGTTTCTTCTATTTATCCGCAGATAACTCCGCACTACTTAGGAGTTAATCAAAGTGACCACATGCATTGTAAAGGTCAGACTCCAAGCTTTCAAATGACACCTATTTTGTGTTGATCAACACAGTGATTTTGAAAAATATGCTTATTGGTTTCTTCGCTAGGGGGCGCCCGCCGGCGGTACACGCCGGTTTAGAGGAACTAGGCAGCACTGGTTAAGAGTTGATCAAAATTCGTTGGATGGATGCATTCGAAAGCTGAATTCCTAAGCTTTAAAATGATACCTAATTATTAAAAAAAAAGTTATATATGTAGCGAATCAGCTCATGGGGAAATATGAATAATTAATCATAACTAGTTATAATTAATTATAAATATTTAGATCCGCTGTAGATATTTAGCTGACCTCTCAGGGTCAACTGTTAAAAGATAAAATACACAGAAATATTTAAAGTTTTACATTCTGCTTGCCAAGTGTTCAATAGAGCTCTCCAACTGATTTATTCAATTAATAGGTTTAGGCATGATTTACACACGAAAGACGCAATGGATTGGTTTGATTTTGGACTTTTCAACCGCGAGAATCTGCTGTAAATAATGATATGCCATTTTCCACGATCGGAGCACGTTTCATGAAATGATAAGCGTAAAAAAACCATAAGAAAGTAACAGCATGTGCGCATTTGGAGTTTTTATGTGTTATAACTCGATGACAAATATCTTTAGATTTAAATGACAGATTATAGTATAATTGGGCTCATTTGAAAATAATGAAAATAATAATGTGCCATTTTACACAATCTATGCATGTTTCATGAAGTTATGAATCAAAATGTTACCTATATTTTTCTTAATTTAATGGTTTAATGTGTGTGATAACATCATAAGGAATATCTTTAGATCTAATGAACGAATTGTGATGAGTTCGGGCTCCTTTTAATCAGGAGAATTTTCTGAAAATAATGACGCTTTCCATGATCTATTCATGTTTCATGAAGTTACAAATAAAAGCACAAAGTGAAATTACAGTTATTTGTCCTGCTGCGCCTGAAGCGCATCCGTTGGGTTTTATGTGTTACAGCAATATGAGCAATATCTTTGGATTTCATTGACGGATTATGGTAAATTTGGGCTCTTTTTAAATCGGGAGAATGAAATATATTATATGAAAATAATTCTGTGTGGTTTTTCAAGATCTATGCATGTTTGGTGAAGCTATGAGCTAAAACGCCACCGGACTGCAACCTCTGATTTTTTTGCTAAGCTACATTACCTAATTCTTTTCTATGCGTTATACCTCTATGAGAGATATCTTTAGATCTGAACGATGGATTATGGTGAGTTTGGACTTTTTAAATCGGGATAATTTTCTGCAAATAATGAGGTGTGGTTTTCTATGAAATGTGCATGTTTCATGAAGTTAGGAGTGAAAACGCTACATGACAGCTACCTTAGATTTTTTGGCTAAGCTACATGCCGCCTGTGCAGTTTTATGTGTGTTATACATTCTTGAGGAATATCTTTAGATATAAATGACGGATTTTGGGCTCTTTTTAATCAGGAGAATCTGCTCTAAAAAAATGGTGTCTATTTTTCCATGATCTGATCATGTTTTGTGAAGTAACAAGTAAAACGGTGACATCAATATATTATTTTCATATGGGTCTGGGGGTGACTTCTTGTACAAAAACTCACTCCAGTTTATTCAAAGCCCCAAACAATTATGCTTGTTTTATTCTACTTGATGAGACCGTTCAAATGACATGTGACCCTGCACCACAAAACCAGTCTTAAGTGTCAATTTTTCAAAATTGAGATTTATACATCATCTTAAAGCTGAATAAATAAGCTTTCATTGATGTATGGTTTGTTAGGACAGGACAATATTTGGTCGAGATTATTGATGGTCGATATTTGCTTAAAAATGTATCACGATAATTTCTGATATTTATTGCGATAACGATATCAATGACGATAATTTAGGGAATCCTGTTTCTTTAGAGAAAAGTATTATTTTTCCTATTTTTACCCAAAATAGGGTGTTGTGAGCAGTACACACGTAATGTAATGACTGTTTAATTAATCCTGGAAGTTGGAGGGCGCCCTTGTGCAGAAACTCCACATATGCATAGCAGAAGTAATGCTCCAGGAAGATCCAGTGATCGCTGTAGCTGAATAAAATGCAGACAGAGAAATTTTAACTGAGGAAACCTGAAGACAATAAACATGCGATTGCACAAAATATATGGTATCTGTGTTCTTCAAGCAATCTTGGGTATTTTTTATAAGGATAGAGTATATTTATAATGCAATGCTAATCGACATAGCCTTTATCACTATATATAACGCTATAAAATAGTATTTCTGCCTTATTCTGTGATACGAAACCACGTCTGATCACAAAAATAAGTTATTTCAAACACTCGACTATGTTATGAAGTTAATATGAAGAAAAAGCACTTCAATAAATTAAAATATCTTTGTTGGACAACAGGTTTGTAAACGACTCATACACATGTAAAACTGTGTCGCACACGTGCTACTGTAGTACATTTACTCAAGGCTCAGACCGGTTTCTGTCGCACTGTACAGCCCTATTCAAACCTGTTCCAGATTGTAGGAGGAGCTGCTCAATTTCACGTCCGCCTTCCTTTACGTCACTCCACACAGTCGGATGTCAACTACTAGACTTTATGGTTATTATCGTGGGAAGACGAATTCTTATCGTGTGGAGAATCTTTACCGGTATATCGCAAACGATAAGATATCGCCCATCCCTAGTCGAGATACAACTATTTGGAAATCTGGAATCTGAGGGTGCAAAAAAAAAATATTGAGAAAATCGCCTTTAAAATTGTCCAAATGAAGTTCTTAGCAATGCATATTACTAATCAAAAATTAAGTTTTGATATATTTACGGTAAGAAAAGAAAAACAAAATATCTTCATGGAACATGAGCTTTACTTAATATCCTAATGATTTTTAGCATAAAAAAAAAATACCCCAGAGACGCTGGTCCAGGGTAACATATGACATGACTATCTGAGCTGTATGATGTTTCTGACAGAGTAAATGGCACAAAAAACATATTTTGTAAATTATTTTTTTGTTGTTGTAATTTATCATTTATATTTTGTGTTATTCCATTCAGGGTTTGCTTAGTAATTTGATTATGAATTGTTTCGTGTGGGAGGTGTCCCGCTCCGGCTTAAAGGGTTAAATACTATTTATTACATGGGGCATGTTAAAAACTATTGTATGATTGAATTTTTATTAGATTTATTTATTATTACCATTTTTTTTTTGCCTTTTAGTTAAATCATGGCCACAAATTAGTATAGAACAATCGTGGGAAAATATTAGTTCATCATAGCCACAACTTAACTAAATTAAAGTGACAAACTAGCACAAAGTGGTCAAGCTTTAACTAAACAAGGGAACAAGTGATTTGAGCTTGATTTCCAATCCAGCCCTCCACTCTTGCTTCCACTTCCTGCCCTAAACCAATGCAAGAAATTTGTACAATGTAGGCCTAGCCACGATTTTCACACGGCACGCAGTTTAAAATAGATATTGTGGTCACAAATAAAGAATTCATTCCCACTACTTTATGTGGTCACATTTTATGTTGTGAAGTCCAAGCGGAGAAATTTTAGAGCAGATGGTTTGAAAAATCTTAACAACTGGCTTAGTAATTGGAAATGCTAAAATAAGTAAATTGTCAGTGGACGTTAAAGCTGCAGTCCGTAACTTTTTTTGGTTAAAAATGATCCGAAATCAATATTTGAGCAAGTACATAACCAGCCAGTGTTCGAAACTATCGCCTTACTTTAGCCCGATTCACAACGGTAAGCTTATAATAATGTTTTCTAATTTGAGTGGTACGGGTATGTTTTCGCGGGAAATTCGAGCATGGCGCTGCGTCATTACGTCACATCTGTAAACAAAGAAGTTGTCCCGGCTACTAGGTTATCGCATGTGAGGATCCTGCAGGTGGCGGATCGTTTATAGCCTTTTCTCACAGCAGCTGGAATAATTAAATGTATCATTTTGATGGCTGATTGTAATCCAGAAAGGACTATGTGTTTATGAAACATGTGAATGAAATTAAATTATATTCCAGTTTTAAATGTGCTTCTGATTACAAATAGCCTGGGATTACACAAGATTTGTATTTGAAAGACAACCAGTTCGAAGGGAGCATAATTTGATTTTTGGGTTAAAAGTAGGGCTGTGCAAAAAATCGAATGCGATTTTCATGCGCATCTCGTCAGTAAAGCCGCTCCTGTGATTAGTAGTAAATCTCCAGCACGTGCTTTCAGATGGAGTGGCATTTACTACAGAGAGCCGTGGTTCACTGACAAGCTACACAAAATCGCAGGCGATTCATTGCCAGCGCGATTTATTGTAATGCTTTTTTCCTCAGCTGGTCAGAACAAACGTGGCAGACTTGTTACTTACTTGCTCAGATGACAATATCCGGTGAAAGTGCTTATTTGAGTCATATTCCAAGACTTGGGCTAGAATCTGTGATTGCGAAGTACAATATCCACACCCATGCGGTGACTGACTGCCACACATACTCTTCAGAACATAAGATTCATCCGCACTGGAGCCGTGCTGACTCACAACCCATGCAAGCTAGATAATTCCACACACAGCTGCAATTGCAGGTTTTCAAACAGAGATGGCGACAAAGAGGAAAAAACTTACGGACTGCAGCTTTAACATTAAGAGTTGGTGCTCAATTATAAAGAATACCTACATTTTTTAAAGGGATAGTTCACCCAAAAATGAAAATTCTGTCATTAATTACTCACCCTCGTGTCGTTTCAAACCCGCAAGACCTTCGTTCACCTTCGGAACACAAATCAAGATATTTTTGATGAATTCTGAGAGCTCTCTGACCCTCCCATAGACAGCAATGATCCAAGTCCATAAACGTAGCAAGGAGATCGGTAAAATAATCCATGTGACATCAGGGGTTGAAACGTAATTTTACGAAGCTACGAGAATACTTTTTGTGAGCAAAAAAAATAAATAAATAAAACGACTTTATTAAACAATTCGCCGCCTCCCTGGCACCATTTAGGAGAGTATCCACTGAACGTAAACGGTGTATGCTGTTCTGTGTCCAAAATGTCTGTCCTGTTCAGTCTGTTCGGTCCAAAATGGCACCAGGGTGACGCGGAGATGACGAATTGTTGAACAAAGTAGTTTTTTTTTGTTTTGTGCTGGGTAACGATTAATCGCATCCAAAATAAAAGTTATTGTGTACATAATATATGTGTGTGTACTGTGTTTATTTATTATGTATATTTAAAGACACACATACAGTACATATTTACAAAATTTAAAGGGGTCACCGTCATATGATGCGATTTAAATTTTTCCTTTCTCTTTATTCTTTATAAAGAGTCAGCCAAGCCTATCTAAAACTGCTCGTTCTAACACGCCCCACATGTCTACGTCACTATGTGGGAAGATTTGCATAACGCCACCCAAATGTTCACGCAAAGAAAGAAGGTGTAACTTTTATTCTGGTTGTAGTATTGTTGCCGTCGCCATGTCGTGGAGACGCTGTGTTTCGTTGTGAAAGCTAAACTACTTTGTTTGGTCTTCCAAAAGAGGATGATATCTGCTTCGTCCTGCCTGGAGCTGATCTGTGCTGGTCACTGAGGAAGTACATAAAATCGCCGGATCGGCTTTCACTGTGGACGAAGTGGAGTCCAGCCCGGGGTCGTCACATGTGGTTGCCGCAAGCCTCCTTCGTCGAATCCACTGGCCGCGCCGTTCACAAGCCTGCCTGCCTCTGCTCACTCAAGCCGGCCTCCGCTCACTCTAGGCCCCCCATGTGTGACGCTGTGTTTCATAGTGAAAGCGAAACTACTTTGTTTGGTCTTCCAAAAGAGGATATGACTAGAAATCAGTGGTTAAGTTGTATTTCCAACACTGTTCCAGAACAGTTCAACCCAAATATTCAGATGTGTCTAGCGCATTTTATGGAGGACTGTTTCCTGATCCTGGTAGAATAGACTACAATGCCGGCTGTTCTGACTCACAGACTGCAAGTACGTTTTTTTATATTTAAAGAATTTGCCACTGCCCAAAACTCTCGTTTGAATCATCAGTGTAGAGTAGCGCTTGCTGTTTGTCATTTCTCCGATCACAAATGCATGACATGGTTTTATGTTTACACGGCGCGATGCAATGCAAC